AGAACTGCACTTCCTTTTCACATTACTTTCAGTCACTATAGAATTGAAATGAGAGCTCTGGAAATTCACCACCATTTTAAGGCATGATGGTGAATGCATGGCCTAGGATTGAGGACATCGGGACCCTGTTCCTGGTCCTATCTTCCCATCTTGATAAAGCCACAAAAGTTTTCTGGACTTCATCTGCCAAAGGAAAAGTCTTAGATGAGATGAGATGCCATGTCTCTCTTACTACCACTCCAATGACTGTTAATTTTTTCTAAAGAAAAATTAATGCTTTGTGAAAATATGGAGAGAAGAAATATATTGCAGTGCCAGGACTCTTGGTTTGCTGAGAACATTCTGGTAGGGTGTCTTCAAGTGCCTCCCACACAGGGCATGCTGCTCCATCATTGCCTTAAGCATCAGTATGGTGCAGTGGATGAGCTCTACGTGACATGGCCAAAGTCGCAGAGGCACAAGGGCTTGTTAACCTCAGCTCGACCCCATTAAACGCACTGGAGTGTGACTTTGGCCATATAAAACAAATGTGTTGGCTCTGAGCCCATCAGGATTCTGAGGCTCTTTCTCAACAAGGAGGCAAGCAGGAAAGGAGAAGGATTTTGCTTTCTTCAGTCTGCATTAGGGTCCTCTGTGGTCCAGGCCATGACATGTGACATGACAATACTAGAATGCACACCAGAGTCTTTGAGAAACTGATTTCACTTCAGTTGTTGACATCATGAAAAAAGACCCTGAACTGAGAATCAAGACTTGAGTTCCAGTCCTGAGTAGGAAGGTCACTTGGGAAAAAGTCATTTAGCATCTTGGGACCTCCTCTCTACAATAAGGGAGCTCAGTATAGACTTTCTATTTTTTTTCTACTAGTTCTATCAATCTGAGATTCTGTATTCTGAATTAGAACTTTATTGGGGCTGGGGATATAGCTCAGCTGGTAGAGTATGTGCCTTACATGAATAAGGCCCTGGGTTCAATCCCCAGCACCACTACCAAAAAAAAAAAAAAAAAGAACTTTATGAGACAAGCCCTCAGATTTCTTAGGTGTCAAACTACATACTGGAGACAAATAAAGCAGTTTTTAAAACTGTGTCAAATTAATAGGGTGTGCAGGGGTCTTATGGGGAAAACTTTTGAATTTCCCACTTGAAGCTAGGATTTCAGACTGTGCACTTGAGGTGACATGTTGCTAGACAAGTAGATTGGTGATGGGATCCTTTAATCTTCATTATAGTTTAATCCTTTACCCAGTATTTACATACAAAAGCTATGAGGTTTTAATTGGTATTCAAAATTGATAAAGTATTGCAAGAGGCAAGAGTAGTTGAATATTTTCAGGTCTTATGGAAAGTTAAATTGATTAATATGACCATTTGATCTAGTTTATCCTCCACATATGCAATCCAAACTCTATTCCTCAGATGTATTCTATTGATAGGTTGGTCTTGTTAAAATGTAGTTTATTCCTATTTTTATTCACTGAGGTTCAAAATTTAGCACGTTTCTTAGTTTAAATCATGCTCACCTATTCTTTTCTGAATGCTCCCTGTTATATATTTGTATAATATTGTATATAATTTTCCTTTCCACTATTTCATTTGTTCATTACAACAGTCTGCCCTGAGAAGCTGGGGGTAAAACCATGTCTTCCATTTTAAAGAGGAATAACTGAGGGTTTGGTGCCAAGGTCACATGTTTAGAAGGGAACCACACACACACACACACACACACACACACACACACGTACACACACCCTTTCCCCCCACACTCTTCACTTCACTGAGTGGATTAGTTTGTTCTGCTACTCACAGAGGATCCTTGCTCAAGGATGGTGTATATTTTGCAGACTCCTCGATAATAGCTGAATGGTGTCACATCACAGGGAATTACTCAGAAAAACACAATGTGAATGATTAATATATATGCTGCTGAAGGATATAAATGATTAAAAATACTTTGGAGAAGAATATTTTGTATACTGTCAAAATTTTATTAACATTGTTGATAAATGTGAAATATCTGAGAAGTGCTTAGATATTAGGTAGATCAAATTAACTTTCACAGTAGGAAAAGGGTGACTACTCTAGAAGGAAAACGGTTCTAAAGAAAATAGGGAGGATCTGGAGCAAGAATAACCAGATAAATCTAACTACAAGCCAGTTACATTGCCCATGAGTGTGGTTCATCTCTGGAAAGTTCAAATTTCTCATCTTATATACCCCATTCAAGGATGTCCCCTTCAAAGGAGTCATCTTGAGAGGCTATATGCTTATTCCATTCATGCAGATTGTTAGTTGAATTATTTCTAGGACCTCTATTTTATAATCGCCCTCTGAAATGGAAACTTTCCTTAAGTATTTTTAATGGTGTTTTAGATAAAGTCAAAAGTCAGAGTCATATCTGGTAGAAAGATGGGTGCTCAAGCCAAGTAATTTATTTTCCTTCTTTGCTTCTTTCTTTTCTTTCCTTTCTCTCTCTTTCTCCTTTCTTCCTTCATTCAGAAAAAGAGATGGGACTAAACTATTTTGTGTGTTTCATCTTCTTCTGAAGACTTCTAATAATTATTCTAAGTAATCCAGTATTGTCATGGTAAGAACCTATTTTCCAAGTTACTGATGGTGGGTGCTTAAATTCTACTTTGTTAGTTTAAAATACTCTGTTTTGTGGTTTTGTAATTATATTCCTTAGAAAGAATTCTACAGGACTTTAGGGTGGGTGTTGCGATGGTTCCAAAGGACGGGAGACCTAATTGTTTTCTTCAAACCAGTGACGGGTTTGGGGAAGTAGTGCTGAGCTAAGAGGTGAGAAGCAGTTCAAGGAACAGAGAAGATGCTGTGTGGAGCCCTGAGTTGGATCCGAGGTGTGTCACTTTAGCTGATTGGAGCATATGACAGATATGGAAGGAGGCCGTGGATGTTAAACACAATGTTACATATGAGAATAAGGATACTTATTCAAGTGCTAACTTCTGCTTTCAATTAGTAATGTAACATTGGGTAAATAGTGTGCTTGTTTCCTAATCTGTCAACTTAAATGAACCCAGGGTTTCTTTAAAAATGAAAATTGATTTTATAAAGGATACATGCTAAATGTCTTCCAATACCATGAGGAACTCTCATCTAGAAAAAGGATTAGATCAAGACTGTAAAATATCTAAAAAAGGAACAAAGTATCAAAAAATCACAAAGGAGCAGATTTTGACTTAAAGTAAGATAGAACTGTGAGATGGTGGCTTGAGGGTGGAGGATGGTATGGTAAGGTAAGTTCCCCATGAATGGAAGTAATCAAGAGCTAAGACGACCGGTTTTATGATGTTGTTAGGGGTGGTGCCCCTCCAAGACATGGTGAGCTACCTGATTATAACAATCTCTGTAAGTACTAAAGTTCTAGGAATCTTTACTTTGGGGGCATCTTTTGTGCTCTTGATTGCATTTGTGAAGCAATGCAAGACCAAGGGAATAACAGGCTAAAAAAAGTCCCCCAAAATTCTAGAAGCGAGAACTGATCCATGAAGGTATGAGTCATGCTACCCAGMCATCCTTACAGTTGTCAAAGTCTATGAATTCTAGTGACCTTTTCATTTAATGTAATGTGACCTGAAAGATTCCAAGAGTCTCCCAGTTTCATTGAAAGAGAAGCGTTAAAAGAGGGGTCTTAAAGCTGCCTCTTCCATTGTTCTTGTAAGATGCCCCCTTTACTTCTTAACAGAGATCCATCTGATAAGCAGCATCAGGCCCAAAGCTCAAGAAGCAAGTCATGTGAACGCAGAGCTAATCATTATTGATTCCTTGGGCCACTGTAGTAAAAGGACATTAATTACCATCAGGCTGGTTGCATTAATGCAGTTGTACTGAGGATACCTAGGGGAATTTCCAGTGAAGAAACTGCATTTGAGATCACAGTCAGCTGCAAAGGAACCCAGGGGCTGGGGTACAGGTGTCCAGGAGGAAGACAATTTCATTGGTATGACTTCAGTTACCTCCAGAGTTTCTGCTAAGTTGTGCTCATGTCCCTAAAGCACTCTGAAATGCCCTCCTTTGCTATTCCCACCCTCAGGTATTTTCTGTTCGTTATACATAATACAAAACCCTGGTTTTCAGATGTATTCTGTGGTGCCAACAGGACTCATCACACGACTTTGAGAAATATAGACTGGGCAAGTCCTCAGTAAGAGTTAGAGAGTATGTGCTTTTCTAGAGAATGGGGAGAGGGCCTAAATTCCCACATGCCATCTTTCTTAGCAGAATTTTGTCACATTCTTTTCTTCCTTTTTTTTTTTTTTTTTTTTTTTTTCGGTACCAGGGATTGAATGCCCGGGAACTCAACCACTGAGTCACATCCCCAGCCCCATGTTGTATTTTATTTAGAGACAGGATCTCACTGAATTGCTGAGCGCCTCACTTTTTGCTGAGGCTGGCTTTAAACTCAAGATCCTCCTGCCTCAGCCTCCCGAGCCACTGGAATTATAGGTGCCACCGTGTCCGGCTGTGTCACTTTCTTTTCTTGTCTCTACCTCCTCAACCCACTTTACTCTACTCCTTTTATGAATAATTATTAACACTCACTGAGGTTTTACTCTGCACCAGGCCCCATGGTAAGTGCTTAACCTAGCTATCCCACTTAAGCCTTACAAATCAAGTAAGGTGGGCCTTTTATTACCCTCACTTTCTGCAGMTAGGGGGAGAAAATGAAGTTACAAATGCTAAATGATTTGCTCCAAGTCATAGCTACAGACTGAACTCAAACCAGGTGACCTTATTTTAAGTTATTATAGTGTTTTGTTATATGATTTCTATAGGTGAATACTTGGATGATTCTATTGCATAATCACCTGGGAGTTGAGGAGAACCAAGCTTTCTGATGATATCTGTATATTCTGATGATATCTATCTGTATCTCTCTCTGCATCTGTCTCCATCCACCTTTGTCTCCCTCTACCTGGCTATTTTGCTTTTGGATGCCATTTTCATGTTTTTAATCTTACTTTTATTTTATCTTTACAGGTATCTGATCAATGTCACTTTTGAAGGGAGAAATCTGTCCTTCAGTGAAGATGGCTACCAGATGCACCCGAAACTGGTGATAATCCTTCTGAACAAGGAGAGGAAGTGGGAGAGGGTAGGACATGTCTTTGGCAATTCTTAAGCAAAATAGAGGGTTAGGGATGTAAAATTTTGTGACACATTAAAGGAAAGCAGTGCCTTGGTTTTCATCCCTAGACCCAGGGAACAAGAGGCCAAAACTTGGAGAACACAGGAGAAACTAGATCTCAAAACTTGCATCTTTATTTTCCTGCTTCTTTGGTCATCAAAGGGTTGTTTCCTTTATACATTTCTGTTTATCACTGGTGGTTCCATTGCTGTCTGAATCATGACTGTTTTAATGGAAGGTTATATATGTGTAATGTAACATAATTTGGTGAAGAAACCAAATGGGTGGTACCATTCAGAAGTTGTGTCCTACCCAGTGTCTGAGGAGGCCCATAAAGCCTAGGTGATGAGCAAACATGCAGAGATTTACTGTGATTGAAGAGTTACCATGCACAGCTCTGTTCAGAATCTCTCCCACTGCCAGCTGATCACAATATTTAAAATTCTACCATTAGAAATTAATGTCTGTGGGCATCAGGCTGGCTCTGCTGCTCACCAACCTGTTTGTTTAGGACTTTGGGCAGGTCTTTTTACTATTCTGTACTCAATTTCCTCAACTATAAAATAGGAATAATCATAGAACTCATATCACAGATATGAAGACTAAATATATTAATACCTATAAAATACTGGAAAAGCTGCCTGGTACACAGTGATCACTCAATAAATATTTAGCTTTAGTTATTATTTCATATTCCTAAGTAAACACAGATGTTCCCAAGAGTAATGTTTTATCACTGATCTTTCTCCAGGTATGTTTTATTGGACGCTTGTCCCTTGAGACACTTTGCTAAAAAATGGTTCTGCAGATAAATATGATTAAGAAATACTAATTATTATTTCCCACTCCAGGAGCATCTCAGAACATATTAGCATTTGAAAGTTCAAATAGCAAACAAATGTCTTAAATTTTATCTAATATGGCACTTCCCTGAATTATTTGACCACAAGACCCCCTTTGTTTGTGATAGTCATATTCCATGAAAATACATTAGGAAACTCCTTAAAGATAAGTTCCATAGACTCCATGGGCCAATTGGCTGAAACAGACTTTTAAAATGCCGGTATGGTTTCCAGTGGAAACCAAGTGTGTTAGTCAGTTTTCCATCACTGTGACAGCATACCTGAGATAACTCAACCTCTAGGGAGGAAAGATTTATTTTGGCTTATGGTTTCAGAGGTTCCAGTCCATGGTCACCTGGCCCTGTTGCTTTGTGCTTGTGGTGAGGCATCATAGTAGGGAGCATGGTGGAGGAGGCCTGTTCACCCACCTCATGGTGGCCAGGAAGCAGAGAGAGACAGGAATGGCCCAAGTTCCAATATCCCCTGGCCCCAGTGACCTAATATCCTCCCATTAGACCCCAGGTCCTAAAGGTTCCACCATCTCCCAATAGCCTGATAGGCAAGTGGGGGAGCCTCGTTTGGAGGACATTCACGCTTCAAACTATAGAACTAAGCTATACATTTCTAGAAAGAACAGCCAGAAAGAGACCAGAGATAAACTCCCTAAAATTCATGATCTTGTCCCAGAGATCCCAGGATGGTTAGTTATAGAATACCCACTTGTGAACAAGACACGTATGGCTCAGCTACTGGAACCTGGAACCTCATACTCGGAGTTTTGAGAGACCTCAGTCTATCAAACAGTCGCTGTCATCAGGCATAGTTATAAAGCTTACGTTGTGCCTGATGCTCTTGATTAAGTTACCCTCCCTCCACTGAGTTAGGATTTGTTCAGAAATGGTTGTTCCCTGGACTCCTGCTCTCCACCCCAGTCAAGCTGCTTCTTGCTGCTGCTGTAAAGACATCATGATTTCAGAAGTGTTCTGGCTCCTCATGTATAACAGACACTTCTGTAGATCTCCAAAAGAGAAGTTATTAATAACTGAGACTTCAAACATGGCTCAGAAGACGTCCAGCTGGATTGGCTTTCATGCAGTGGACTCATGATTACAGTCTCAAGCAGGAGGCATCTCATAACTGTCCTTAAAGAGACACCAGCCATAGTCCTGCAGCATACCTTCCTTAGGCTGGGATCTGAGGCCTATGGCCCTCAACCCTTTCCCCCCAAACCCTCCTTCTGATGTTTATCAATCCTAGCTCTCCTGGTTATTCCATACTTTAAATATGACCCAGGAACCATGGGATAATTTTTTGAACAGGCCTCTTTGTCCCTGACTCAACCTTTGTTTAGATAAACCCCACTTGTGGGTGCTGGAATGAGCTTCCTAAAACACAACTGTGCATTCTTTCCCTGCCCCAAACCCACTCAAGGTTTCTACGATTTACTTGTTGGGCCCACATTTTACCCGTGTTTGCACTGGCTCTGGTCTACTTTCCAAGGCCTGCCTCTTCCTCCTCATTTCCTATTCCTCATTTCCTACTCCTTTCTTTTCTGAGAATGTGCCCTTGTATGTCTTGCCCCCTGTACAGCATGTCATCATGTTTCCTTTTCCTGGAACGCATTGTACAGTTATACAACTCACAAGCATCCTTCAAAGCCCAGTTAAAATGTCACTGCCTCCTTCCCCGATCTTTGACTGCAGTGTAATGCTCCCTCCCTTTCCCTGAAGCCTCACTCCACATTTCTGTTGCTGCACTGTCACACCCTCCTTGTGTTAGCGTTGTGTGCACGCATGCCTCCAGAGGGCAGAGGCTATGTCTTCTTATGGTGTGTCCTCACAGCAGCCTGAAGAGTGAATTGCAAAGAGCAGTTCAATAAATTTTTGCAAAATGAATGATTACATTCATTACATAATGTAATTCTCATTACATAATGAAGGTCCAAAATCTGTCATTAAGAGTCCAAGTTTATGCTATTGCCCTTGACACAATAGCTGGGTTTTCAATTTTTTTTTTGAAGGGGGGAATAAAATCTTTATGTAGATTGAATTTTTATAGATCATACTTTGAATGTACTGAAGGAACTTGCTATTTAAAGAAATTCTGTGGTTAATCATTTTGTAAAGCATTTTGAGAGGGGTTGAGAAATCAGAAGAATAGAAGATTTTTATATCAACTTGGTAAAACCAGGGAACATTTCTGAAGAGAGATGTTTAGTGTTTTGGGGTTTGCAGATACATGCAACTCCCAAACTCAAGTTCTGTTAGAGAGTCCCCCATAAACAGGGAGGAGCCACAGGAGCCAAAAGCAGCTTTGGCAAATGGATGGGATGAGGGGAAATTGCACTATAAAAGGTTGGACCTTTTCTTCCACTATTATTTTGGCCTCTGGGGTCATTCTCAAGATCCTTGATACTGTTGCAGTAGGTGCTCTGTGGTCCAGGAAGATTTGGTGTCTGTGACTCCAGAGAGGCAGGCACCAGGGTGAGCATTCTACAAGGAGTTGCTGGATGTTGAGAAGATTAGCAGGGAGGGAAGCCGGATTTGCAGGAGCATCTGGGTTAGGAGCTACTTATCCAGGCACTCACTAGCCGAGGGCTGGCTCTTTTCACTTCTCTTGCTTCTTCTTTCCTTTTCTTTAAAATGATGGCATGAGACTAAGAAGATGGTTAGATCTCTTATAGAGATCTAAGATCTAAGAAGATCTAAGAAGATGTTTAGATCTCTCACTGCTGGGATTACCATTTATGTTGTAAATAAAAGGAGACTGGAATGGAAATTGAGTGAGAGCTGGAGTATACAATAGTTCCTAGGGCATATGTTCTTGTCATTTAGGTAAATATCATGTCAACAGAAAGGCGACCCAGTCACTCTTTCACAAGTTGATTTTAATTTTCTTCACGATGCTTATTATCCAGCATCCTCCTTATTTACTTGCTTGCTCATTTATTACTGGTCTCTTCACACCAGGACGGAGGCTTTATGGGGACAAGGACCTTGCTCTTCTCTATAATTCTAACACTCAAGAAGAGTGTTTGGCTCAGAGTGACCATTCAAAGATAATTGTTAAATAAATGAAGAATCTGTATGCTTAAGAAAGTTAGATATTGACCAATATTTTACTTTGACTCTGAAAATCCCCCATTCAGACAAAGTGGTTTGCTGAAGAGACCAGGAGAGGGTACCTTTCCCAGGCTTGGAGTGATGGTTGCAGTTCTAGTGAAGGACCCAGGGGAGATCTTCATGGAGGCTCAATATCCAGCGGAGCTGTGCGTAAACAGCTTTTAACAAGGAGCCTCAGCTGGAGGAAGAATCGTTGAGTTGGTGCACTCCGGGTGATGGATTCCACAGAATTCATTCAGTTTCTTACAAGGAGTCCCAAAGCTACTGTCTTATAAATTTGGTTCCTCTGAAAAAACTCAAAGTCAATACAACGTAGGCTGTGGTTCTGGAAATCAGAAGACCTGCATTCTGTTCCCTGTGTGGCCATTTGTCAGCTCTATAAACCTGAATGAGTAGCTGCAAATACTTATTTCCCTTTAGTAAAATAGGGTTTTACATAAAGCTGTTGTAAAGATTAAATGCGATTTTACAACGTTTCAAGGTATCATTGGCACATGGTAAAAGGTAAATGATACAGATGATCGTGTAATAAAAAGTCCTTAGTCCCCCTCCCCAGAGCAGTCGCTGTTGCCAGTATCTTATGTATTCCTCTGAAAATATTACAAATATGAACAGATTTACTCAACCTTTTATGACCCTTGAGTGGGATCCTATATCCTGTCCTTAAACGGTACAGGGGCTAGAATAGCAAAGAGATCTCTGAATCAGAATTGTGTTCACGGAAAGCCAAGAACATCTCTGGTGTGTAGGAATGTGGTGAAGGACATTTAGAAAGAAACACACGTGTACGCATTCGGGCAGACATGGCAAGGTGAGTTGAAAAGGGCAGGGGGTGGCGAAAAAATGATCGAGTGCAGAGTGGGCTCATTTGTAAGACTAAGTGGGGGACAGCTGCATAAACTTGCATTAAAAATAGTCTGGCACAGAGAAGCAGTTTCAATCAGCTTTCAGGCTTCTGTCTCTATCAGAGCCTCTCATGATTTGCTTCATTGCAACTGCTCTC